TCAGAATCGATTCTGCGACCACTGCGTGTGCGAGAGGAACGTGTACCAATACAGGAGGTTGATGCACACGAAAGCGAACGGGAAGAGCACTCGTGAGATTTCGTCGATGTTGGACACGGAGTTAATCTGGTCCAGTTTCGAAGAGGTTGGACGTCTCGGCGCCCGCTCGCCGGACCTGGGCAGATGCGACTGGCGGCGGTGGTGGGGAGCCTGGGGAGGGGGAGGGGGGTATTATTATGTTTCTTTGTTATAGAATATCATTACTAGCATTGTTGCTCTGATGGCGATGGTGATAGTGATGATGATGATGATGATGATGATGAGTTCCCCCAAAGACTCACTATCGATGATAATTCTTTTGAATTGAAGAACAATGATGGCAGTTATGATACTATTTTTTCTTAATATTTTTTTCTATTAGGTCACTGGTTCTCAATCAGTGTTTCGCGAAAAAGATTCCGCTGCATGTCCAACCTATTCAGGGAAAAGTTGTTTCATACCGAGCGGGAGTGAATATGATGGAATGGTGTGCCAATATTTGCAGGTGCGAAAGGTAAAACCTGTTATTGTGTATAAATATAACGTTAATTGTTATCAAATTATAAATGGGTCATTCAAATATGATTTATAATTGATATTGAGAAATAAGGATAAGAAATTTCGCTGGAAAAGGTAGTGTCTCCTCGCTATGAGCCGACGCTGTATGTAATGGCAAAAGGGTTAGTTTTCCACGAAGTAAAAACACACGTGAAGGAGGTACGGTGCTTGGGGAAACTTGAGCACCGATGTAATAGATCATATCTCTTTGCAAAAACAGTTTGTGATCTGGGAACCGTTATACCAATGAAAAGCCTCGGTATATTTGATAAGCAAGAAGACCTCTGAGTGGCAGGACCAACGCACCTTCGTCGCCGGCAGAGAGCTCCTCCTCCCCCTGGCGCAGACGCAGCCGCACAGCCTCCTCAGCCGAAGGGAGAGGCCGTGGGGGGCGGGCGAGGCGGGCGCCCAGATGTGCAAGGGCGACACGTGCCCTTCGGAGGACCGGGACGAGACCTTCCCGACGCCGTTGGGGCCCGCCGAGGGGTGGGCGGGGCACACGGAGGAGGCGTGGCCCTCGCAGTCCTCCTGCGGCCCGATCGCCATCACGGTGCATGCGACTGGCTGCGATGGGAGGGGGGTGAGGGCGAGGCGGTGGGGGAAGGGGTAGTGAGGACGATGGTGAGGGGGGCGATGATATGTGCAGTGTGGATAAAGAAGGCGGTCTATAATCAGGGTTATAGTGAAGTTCAATAAAAGGAAAGCCAGCATATCATGAAAATGGATGATTTTTTGTGGGATTTGTTTGCGAGCATCTCCAAGCATCTCGAACAGAGAGAGGCACCGTGCTTCATCTTAACGTACAGCTTTAATTATCCAACTTCTAAAGTAGATCTCCTCAACTGTTTGTCTGACGCTACCCCTTACCTCCTTACCCCTCCCCCCCTCTCACCTCTAGGGTCAAAGTCAAGCCCTTACCTCAGGGTCAAGTTCCTCGTCAGGGTCCTCCTCGGAGTCGGCCTCGGAGCTCGAGTGCGACAGGTAGACCTCGCCGGACCCCACTTTCGTGAAGACGTGGACGAAGGCGAACTGAGGAAGCGTAAGGCGAGGGTGAAGGCAGTCGGTCGATGCAAAGAGGTCAAAATAATTTTGGTAGGGAAGAGCTGGGGAGTTCTTGGTTGTGATTTATGGTTGTGGTTGCAGGCTCAGATGCAGAGAGAGAGAGAGAGAGTTAGAAGGTGTGAAAGAAACCTGGATTGCGATTAAAGGCTTCCGGACGTTGCTTAGTGTATTGACATTTCTGTTAGGGTATTGGATGTGTTTTTTTTCTCTTTTTTTTTGTATTCGTAAATATATCTGTTTATATGCAATTTTTTTTTTTTTTGTTATGAATACGATTTTATCATAATCTCATACAACTCTATATTGCCCGAGTCCAGTATTCTCCCGATATACGTTATAGATCTCGAATCATGTTTTCACTATAAAACATTAGAACATCTAACTTGCAGTATTAAAGACTAACCCGCACAATCACATTCCTAAAAAGGATACTCACCTCTATCTTTAGCAGAAAATACTATATACAAAAAAATAAGAATAAAAAGGCATTTATGATGAGACAAAACCCTTCCGAAATCACTCCAAATTTATATCTGAACATAAAATCCAGACAGACTCCGATACTCCTTTGCCCTTTTACAATAAACGATTTTTTTTTTGTTATAGTATTTTCTCTACCATGTAATCAAAACAGCAGTCGTTTTTTACCTCTATTATTGTGGCGAAGATGAAGCCATACGAAATCCAAACGAAGAGGTCAAGAGCTGTTATGTAAGAGACCTTAGGAAGGTCAGTCCGCGCCTCTAGTCCCAGGAAGGTCATCGTCAGCACAGTCGTGATGCCTTGGGGAGAATTATTATGATTATTTAGGTACATGTAGTGAGAGGCAGGAGGAAATTCTGTAGATGCCTTGGAATTACTTTATCTATATTACGCCTACTAAGAAATGGGAGAGAAATCCTGTAGAAGCCTTGGAATTATTTTATCTATATTACGTCTACTAAGAAATGGGAGAGAAATCCTGTAGAAGCCTTGGAATTACTTTATCTATATTACGTCTACTAAGAAATGGGAGAAAAATTCCGTAGATGCCTTACAATCACTCTAATTATCTAGTTACATGTACCTAGAGGTGAGAGGTAAATTCTGTAGTTGCCTTAGAATTACTTTGATTCTCTTTATATATCTTCTGAGAGGTAGAAAGAGAAATCTGTAGAAGCCCGTAGAATTAATCCAACATCACGACCATCTAAGTACTTGGGAGAAAAAAATACCAATGCACAAAAAAGGGGATTTCGAAACTGTTGATTATTTTAAACAAATCTAGCTTGTGCATTGTGGGTTCTTCATAGTATCAGCATGGTAGAGTGTTATATCCTTCTTCCAAGAACGTCTGCAGTTACCCTAGAATGTCTAATAGGCTATATGGTTCGTATTGGGGTATAGTATACAGTTTCTCATTGTTCCATATGTCTATTGACAGTGGGAGACTTGGATATATGTTCTAAATCTCTCTGACTGATGCGTTATTTAGATCACATGGCTGGTCAGGCATTTTATCCATGCATATACTGATATCATCTGATAATGAAACTCCCAATATGAAAAGTTGCAAAGGCTGAGCTGATATGTCCTTTTTATCCTGGGTAAATTCAGAGCACTTTAGATGACGCTTCAGCCCCCACGCTCTCTATCCCTTCTGAAATCTTGCTTTTTTGGCAATTTCTTATCGTCTTTACCTCTTCACATGTTGTTTAGAAAAAGTATACATCAAACTTCATGTATACTGACGAGTAAATTCATTTGTGATCGCATCTTACACTACCATGATTTTCATGAAAGTTCCACTTAGTTTATTCATAAATGCACCCTATTTATTTGTAGAATATACCCAGTCTATCTATAGATTACACTCAGCTGATACATAAATATACTCAGTCTATTCATAGATACGTTAAGTTCATTCAGAAATATATTTATTCTATTCATAATTTCTACTCATTCATTCATAAATACGCTCAGTATATTCATAACTTACTCGTTCATTTAGAAATACACTCAGTATATTCACAAATTCTACTCAAATATATTCATAAATTCTATTAGTTCATTTATAAATACACTTAAATATATTAATAAATTCCATTCGTTCATTCACAAATATACTCAAATACACACACATTCCACCCGTCCATTCATAAATACACTCAAACGTATTCGCAAATTCTACTCGTTCATTCATAAATACGCTGAAACATACCCACACAGTCTACTCGTTCATTCACAGATACACTCAAAACCCATCCCCAAATAACACAATTTCCCCACTGCCCTTCTCACCTACGATTCCCACCCAACCTGTCTCCCAACTAAGACACAAAAATAGATATCGACAACCCTCCCTCTCGAGAGACTGACCGAGAGATATGCGATCGGATGTGGCTTCCCTGTTTAGCCAGAAGGACACCCACGACAGGACGACCAGCAGCATACACGGGCCGTACACCTGGATCAGGAAGTTCCCCATGTGACGCTGCAGGTAGAAGCTCGCCAGCAGGGTGGAGAACTCCCCTGTGAGGCATGGTGGGGTTTGTGAGGACGGGTGGGGTCATGTGTTTATATGTGTATTTATGTATATATATATATATATATATATATATATATATATATATATATATATATATATATATATATATATATATATATATATATATATATACATATATATATATATATATATATATATATATATATATATATATATATATATATATATATATATATATATATATATATATATATATTAGCGCGCGCGTGTGTGTGCATGTGTGTCTCAAACTATTTTCAGATTTCGGCATATCCTCTTGATATAGGTATATTATCATGAAGATGATCAGCATCGTTAAGCCACTGCTTTATAAGGATCCATCTCTAAACTCATCACCTATATATCACCAAATTTTTCAGTTATAAACACAGATCTCACCATCCTATCCCTTTACGACACTCGAACACTATCCCAATTCACCATCACACTATCACTACACTCCTACCTGCACGTCGGGTTGTATTTTCATCCCCCGAAGGAGCAGCTATGAGGTCAAACTGGGAGAGCATGAGGTCAGGAGCGATGACCACCTGCCTGTCTTTGTTCCACCTGTAGACCACGTCGCGGGTCGTGTAGGAGACTGAAATGGACCAGGGAAAAGGTAATTATAAACCCGACGGCCGGTGATGTGTTTTGGTGTTTGAGATTTTGTTAAGTCAATTTTCATCATTAAAAATGCATAAGTTTAAGCTCTCAACATTTCGTGCTTTGGTGGCTTTACCGATCCAAAATACGCCTAAATGCTATACCAAAGAAGAAGAATAACAAAAATACGCAGAATAAATAAACAAAT